GGCGGGCGGGCGGCGGGGTGCCCTGCGCAGGCCTCGGACGTTCGCCCCGGCTCCGTCGCAGGGCCCGCGAGGCCGACGGCCTTCAGCGGAGGCAGGCGGTGCTCGGCCCTGCCGCGGCCGGTCGGGCACCGAGACCCATTGCCGCGCGGCTCCTTTTGTTGTTCTCCTTGCGGCTCCGGTAGCCGTTCGGCTGGTACCGCCTCTTCTACCTTTTTCAGGCCGCAGGCAGGAGGAGACTTTCCATTCCAGTCTAGAGTTAGTGTGCTTTGATTAAACCTCAGCCCTTGGCTTTCTCCACCTCCTGAAAAGTAAAGTTTGTATAGTCTTGGGGCAGGCTACTCCAGCTGATAATTTCTTCCTGTGTCAGTATTTAACTTGCAAAGTAAAAGCGTGAGGCTAACAATCTTGCACTTTTTTTTTTTTTAATGTCTCTTGCTGTTTGGAATTACTAAGAGCTATTGAAAGCTCTTGAGACTTCAAGAGCATTGCTGTTGATGAGGCTTGTCATGGGTCAGAATTGTGGGTGTGATTGCTCTTCCTGTGGCACAGGAGCACTTCTTTGCAAGACTTTCTTGTTGTGTTTGGAAGTAGGTTCCCTCCTCTCCCCCATCAGAGGGTAGAGATGGGCAAGATGATCTGGAGTGGAACACTAGTGCACACCAATGATGAGTGTGTTGGGTTTGTTTTGTCCTTTTTTCCCAAAATAAGTAGTAGTAACAGCAGCAGAGGCAAGATACTGTGTAAATTTGAAAATTTCTGTTAATTTTCTAATGAGTTGATAGCAATAAAAGGGTCATTGCCACCTCTTAATGCCGGGGTGTGTTTGGGGGGATTAAAACCAAACAACACATGATGACTGGTCTCTGGCTTGTGTGGCCCCTGCAGGGCAGGGTTGATACCCTTCCTTGGGTGCAAAAGTTTGTGTTCTTTCCGGTGATGTAGTGCATCTTTGGAATTTGATTCTGTTTCATAGCAGTGAATTTCTCAGGTGAAGAAAAACAAATTAGATGGGATATTAAAAAAAAAAAATCAAAATCCTAAGAGCTGAGGAGTGTGAGGTTGGTTTGTTTGTGTGGATTTGGTAGTTTGATGTTTGTGGGGTTTTGGTTTTGTGCTGTTTTTTAATTTTCACTGTATCAGGTTAATGGAGCTGTTTTGCATTTGTGATGTATTTCAAAAACTTACAAGGGCTAAACTTAACATACAGATATTATTCCAAAGGAGAGAGAGGGAACCCCTCCAACAACAAATGAACCATGCACATACATTTGTGAAGAAGATACAACTAGCAGTGATAAATCATATCTTCAGGTTTAATACCCACTTAATATCTCACTCCTTCATGCTACTTCATAATTTCTGAGACCAGAATGTACACTGAGATGAACAATCTCTGTCCTATTTTAAGCTTCAGGAGAACTGAAGTTAAAGTCTTTTAACTGAAGGGCTGCTGGAGAGTTATATTAGCAATTTGTTAATAGATAGATTTGCTTTTGAGGGGGCGCTTACCTAGCGGGATCTTAATTTTTCAAGTGTGCTTTCAGTCATCTTTGTCTGTAATATCTACTTGTTAGTAGTTGGTGATGAAGTTTGAGATGCTCGTTGGACAGAAGCCTATGGAGACTGTATACGTGAAGCATATGGTCTCCTGTACACTGAAATTTGGATATAGTCTATCGGTGCTTAACTAAGTCAAATGCCTCAAGATTTGAAAAGGTATTTATAGAAGATAAGAAAATCTTCCATTTACTAGGCACAGCATAGCACATAACCAGTTGCAAAAGCAAGCAGGATATTGAGCCTGAGAACTTGGGTTTTTTCTGTGGAAATGTTACTTGATTGGCACTGGTCTATAGGCCATACGTGGTTTATGTGCCCTCTGAGAAGCTGGCATTTTCCTTGAGGTGCATATAATTAATTGGCTGTTAGCCACAGGAAATATAATTCAGGTATTTGAAAGCACCCTATAATACTTTTCTTGGCTGAGGTAGCTGAGTTACTGAACTATCTTAATATTTGAACGGTTTATAAGCACAAATAATTTTCTCAAATTATTATGGGAAGGTTAGTGTTATTACAGCAGACCACCAGGTACTAACAGCACAACTGAAATTCTGCTGTATATTCAGTAGTTCATTTGCATGCAAGGGCACAGGCTCACAAAATATTTAAAATTACTCCCTTTATAATTTGGTTAAGGATGAGGTTTTTGTTCTGACGGTATCTTTTCGGTGGCTCCATATCTCCTGCATGTGAACAGACTAAAATCTGGAGTGGTAGGTACAGTTTGTGTTGACTAAGTCCTGCGAGTCTTCTGATATAACCAAGATACGGATGCATATGTTAGGAATATTGGACTGAATATAGGATTTTTCTGTGTGTGTGGTCACTGAATGTTAATGGTCTCTTTTAAAAAGCTTTATTTCACATGAATTTAGTTGCTAGTTTAGAGTTGATGTTATGGATTATGGCCATCTATGCAAAACTGACTTTGAAAAAAAGCTAGGAGGAGGGATTTGAAACATCAGCTGTCCTGGCAACTGCATAAAAATCTTAATCTGGTTCTTTTAAAGACTTTTAGTTAAGGTGTCTGCACTGCTAAGCCACTTCTGATGATGTGTAAATATTTAAACTGGAAGCGTGCTGCCTTCTAATCTTTATAGGGTATAGCAGATGAACATATCTAGAAAACTTTCATGGAATAGGTCAGTGCCTGGTAAATCTTTTCTTTAAAGGGCATAGCAGGAATGTGTGAGATTTAAAAACACAAATCTTTGGGAGCTACAATTCCTACAGTTATAGTGGTATATTCTTACAAGTAATCTACATATTAATAGAACATGAATTTTGCACAATTCTTAACCACTGCTTAAATGTTTAATAGAGTGCTAATTCTCCTTTAATTAATTCTGTGAGCTTGTTCAGTGGAAGAATTCTACTCTCCTGGCTGTCGTAAAGGCTTGTTAGCTATGTGTGGAGTTGAGAACAAATTGGCCTGGCTTCTCCCCCTGCCAAGTATCAGCTCTTACTTAAAATGGGTAGAAGTGCAGTAGGGAGGAGGATTGAAAACCTCCACTGGAGTTTGTTTTGACCACGTGGCTAACGAAACCCTGAGTTTAGATACAGTTTGACAATGAAAAGCAGACTCTGACTATTTTTTGGGTGAATGGAGAATCCTCCCTTGAATGTGAAAACACCGCACTGTAACCATCGTGTCTAGAACTGTCCTTGTGTCACATGCAGTAGTGACCTGTGCTTTATGTGTTTCTTCTGCACTCAGTCACTGCTCTTGGCTGTTACTAAGGCTGTGAAGGTGTAGAAAGATTGTTCGCTTTATATTGCCTCGTGCAACGAGTGGGCCACTTCCTTTGCCCATTTCGATGCTTCTGTCTAGCAGTCGTATGGTGGCATCACTGCAAAACTGAGGTCATTTTGTTAGGTTCTGTGCCTGCAGAGAGCCCTCTTCCCATTACTAATAGTGTTTCTGTTAAGCTACTGTCAAAGTCATTTCTAAGATATGGCTCAAATATAAAACATGAGGTGGGGATAGTATTTTGTAAATCAGACCCAGTAACTAAGAGGTTGTTGACATAGGGAAACGATGTTATTCCTGATGTTAACTTCTGCAGGGTGTGCAAAAATGTGTGTCTTGGCTAGAGTAGTGAAAATCAGGTCAAAATATTTCCTGAGTGAGCAGGGCTTATAAACAGATAATATAATGTGTTGTTTGCACTGTAAGTAAAATTTTATACTAAAAGCAATTTTATTTATTTTAGAGGGACTCTGAATATGTCTGGCATAGCTCTTAGCAGACTTGCACAGGAGAGAAAAGCCTGGAGAAAAGATCATCCATTTGTAAGTATGAGAACTGTGAAATTTCTGAGTTCGCTGTTATTTTGGTGTTATGATGATTTTTCTTTATCCTGATGTGATTTTTTTTAATTAATTAATTTTTCAAATAAAAAAGCTACTTAAAACTATGTAGCTCAAAAAGAAATAACTGTGTAAAGATAAAATGTTGTGAAATATTCTAAGTACGTCTTCTGAAATCCTCACCCTTTGGCTTTTTGTCTTAATTCAGGGATTTGTAGCAGTACCTACAAAAAATCCAGATGGCACAATGAATCTAATGAACTGGGAGTGTGCTATTCCAGGAAAGAAAGGGGTAAGACTTCTCACTTACAGTGTTAACATAACGTATGTGTGGTGTAATGTAAGCCTGCTTGTGCATTACACTGACAACTGAGACTGTAACTTACATGTAGTTTAACAGAAGTGCTTGAATGCTGCTGCTGCTGCTTTAGAACCCAGGTGAAGTGGGCCAAGAATGATATTGGACAAAATATACCATGAGTGTGTTCAACTGTTGGCACTGACCACCTTAAGAATTAAAGTTTTCAGAGGAGTGTGTAAGAACCCTGCATTGAGTAAACTTGAGGTTGTCTTCTGCTTCATGCCAGGGTTTATTGTGATTTCTCTATTTACTAAATGGTGGTTTGAGCCCTATATATTGAAAATTAATACTGCCAAAATATTGCCTCTGCTGGTTAAGTGCTGGTACCTTTATTGTCCGCAAAATAGTGAGACCTTTCAGTCTTAGAGAAGTGCTGTAGCACTGTTTTTAGGTTTTTGGATTTCATGGAGAATAATTCTGCATTATCAACATGGAATCTGCTTTATGGAATTTTCTCTTTTGTGTTAGGGGAAGAAGAATAGAACTGTCTAACGTTGTTCTTTCTTATCTGATTTCACTTGTGCTTCTCTGGTCCTTTTCTTAAAATAACAAGAGAAAGAAAAAAGTCTGTTGAGACCCAAATTGTTTATTTTTCTCAACTTGATCTAGTTCTAGGGGATAGGCCAAATGCAAACTTCCAAGTGGAAATAATCATTAATGCCTGAAACTTTTGTACACTGCCATTATAACATCTCGTTCTGAGCACAATCTTGTTTCTACTTTTCAAGATGTTACTTAGCGTGCAGAGATTATTCTTTAATTAATTTGATGCAGTTTCTACTGAGATAATACTAATAATTACCTTTTGGTTTTCATTCTTTTGGGTCTTTAGTGTTTTGCATTGGATGTGGGACTGACTTTGGATGTTGCTTTGCCTGTTCTGCTGCCTCTTGCCAACTTGCTGAAGTAGATTGAATATCTCATTTCTTAGATTCTGAGAAGACAAAGTGTGTAGGCAAAACCTACAGATTCTGTACTACTGCCTCAGTTTAACGCTGAACATGGCATTGCTGTTATGGCTATAACTTGGCTCAATACTTGGCTACTTGTCCTGCGCAGCTCATTAGTTCTTAAAGAAGCACCTGAAAATAATGTAATAGTGTAAGGAGAAACTCAGCCCCTTATGTTCTGCCAAACGAAGGTTATCCCTCATAGTGGCCAGTTACGTACCTTATCAAGATGTCACCTTTTAATACAGGGTGTAACATCTTCATGCTACCGCTTTGAAGTTTTGTAAACCACAAAGTGGAGCAAATAAGACCCTCAAAACTAACTTCTTGCCTCCTAGAAAAAGCATGCTGTAAAATCTTCATGCTACTGCTTTGAAGTTTTGTAAACCACAAAATGGAGTGAACAAGACCCTCAAAACTAACTTCTTGCCTCCTAGAAAATGCATCAGACCAGGAAAAGATCAGTTATGCTCATGTGATTCCTGGTAGAGATTTATTTAAAAAATCAGGGGTTTTACTCAAGTAAAAATGCTGTCTCTTTAGCAAGAAGCAGCATCAAAAAATCAGGGTTTCACTCAAGTGAAAATGCTGTCTCTTTAGCAAGAAGCAGCATGTCTTGCTCATCCGTACCAGACCAACCAGTTGCTTTCCATTGCCTTTGTGTTTGGAGGCTTGCTGTCCTTCAGCTGCTTGCCCTGAGACAGATCAGTAGTTGAAATGGCCCCTTCCTCCTTGCATGTGTATCATGAAAAACTTTAGAAGTACTCTGCTCTTCTGAGTACTATGACCCCCTTCCTTGTTGCATGTGTATCATGAAAAACTAGAAGTACTCTGCTCTTCTGAGTACTATGAAAATTTTACTTGTGTATGGAATTATTGGTGGTGGTCCCAATTGATGACTCAGCATCACTTACTAGCTGTAATGAAGTGGAAAAGTGGGGTTTTCTCTCTCCAACAGGTAGGATAACTTTTAGGTCTAGGCAGTGTGTGATAGTGTAGGACAGTTATTTTCTGCTGTATAGCAGAAGGACATCTTGTGCTTTACCTGAGAAACTGTTCTTGGTAAGTTGTTTTTTTTTTTCACAAGTTTGACTTATCCTTGCAATAATCTAAGCTCTACCTTTTTATAGACACCATGGGAAGGAGGCTTATTTAAACTACGAATGCTTTTCAAGGATGACTACCCTTCTTCACCCCCAAAATGTGAGTAAATAAGCTTGGTAAGTTTTTTTTTTTCCACAAGTTTGACTTATCCTTGCAATAATCTAAGCTCTACCTTTTTATAGACACCATGGGAAGGAGGCTTATTTAAACTACGAATGCTTTTCAAGGATGACTACCCTTCTTCACCCCCAAAATGTGAGTAAATAACTAAAAAAACACATATTTATTAGAACAGTGTTCAACTAATCCATGCGGCTCTATGAACGTTTTTTACTTTCTTAGAGATTTTATTTTCTAAAGGAAAGTTGTTTATTAGAACAATGCTCAACTAATCCATGCTGCTCTAAGAACGTTTTTTACTTTCTTAGTCTTAGAGATTTTATTTTCTAAAGGAAAGTTGCTTTTTTGCTTGGTTTTTTTCCACCCACCACTTTGCATTTAGAAAGTTGTGATGAATTGATGGAAGGGGGATCACAGATGTGATGGAGTTCCCGCTTTAGGTGCAGGCTGAGCCAAGAAGAAAAACAGTATTAATAGCTCTAGAAATCTGTGCAGGTTTTTTGGGGGTGGTAGAGGTATCTTTGGCCAGTTTGTTTTGGTTTTTTTTTCCACTGATCTAAGCCAACGCTCTGATTTTAGTCTCAGTGCTGCATGCAAATAATTCTCTCTTCTTCCTCAGGTAAATTTGAACCACCGTTTTTTTTTTCCCACTGATCTAAGCCAACTCTCTGATTTTAGTCTCAGTGCTGCATGCAAATAATTCTCTCTTCTTCCTCAGGTAAATTTGAACCACCATTATTCCACCCAAACGTGTATCCTTCAGGCACAGTGTGTCTCTCCATCTTAGAGGAGGATAAGGACTGGAGGCCAGCAATCACAATTAAACAGGTCATTAAGTGTACTTAGACATATTCTTAGCCCTTTTATTTGCCAGGCTTGCTTATCTAATGTGTATGTAAGATATTCACTGTTTCTACAGTTGGTTTCTAAAGGATTGTCTCTTAGTAGTATCCATGCCTATGTTACTTCTATGCCTTCTTCCACAGATCTTGTTAGGAATACAAGAACTTCTAAATGAACCAAATATTCAAGACCCAGCTCAAGCAGAGGCTTACACAATTTACTGGTAAGTATCTTTGTGTATCAGCTTGAAAGCTGTCATATTGCCTGCAGCTGTCTGTTACTTAGACTGTAACATGCAAATGTTTTTAGGAATGATCAGGGGATTTTTCTTGCCTTCACGGCTGTATCCTGTGGAGAAGCCTAGTCTTGTGCTAAACTTTAACAAAACAGTAACTTCATGGTTCATAGGCTAGTGGAGCTTTTAATAGCATTACAACAGCAATAAAGTGTAAAGACTGCTTCAGTTAAACCATGATTCTCATCCTGGTTCTAGCCCAACATAGAATTCTTTCCCCTAAAGGCTGAGTGGTAGTGATGAGGAATAATGATATCACGAGACCACTGATAGAGGAGACTGAATTAGGTGGCAACTTCTGTTCATCAGTGTAGGAGTAACTTCTGTCCAGTAGTGGGTACCTATAAGCACTTGTGCCTGAGGAATAAAGAAGAGCTGCTGTGACTGCTGTAGGAAATACGTGGCATTTTGTGAAAATTAGATCTTCCAAAAGAATAGGTTAAAAAGTACGGAAAGCTTGTAGCTTTAGCAGAATGAAGTTTGCATTGGTTAGGAAATTTTTATTTCACAAAATTATGAGCTAAAAGTACTCTTTTTTTAGGCTTAATCTTAAAATGTTCCCACCATTAAAAATGGATGGCTGATCTATAAATTTTAGGGGAGCAAAACACTTTAAACAAATGCTTTTGGCACTGACAGTTACTGAAATAATGACTAAGATGGAAATATGGAATTACCATTCTGGACAGAAGAACAAGTCTCTAAGTTTGAAAAATGCCATTTTATGAGACTTCAGATGCAAGCTATGTCAAAAATGTCTAGTACAGGATCTTAGTGAAAAGGAAACCTAGGGATAAGTAGTGTGTCTTGGATTTTAATTAAAGGCTTCACTCTCTTTATTTTTTAAGTAGTTACTGGAGACTTGATGGGACTGCGTGCATATGAAGGACAATCAGGCAGCCACAGTTGTTAACAGCACCTTTAGGAGCTAGTAATGAGGTCTCCCCTCTTTTTTTTTTTTTTTTTTTTTTTAAGCCACTCTGAGGGAATATGGGGCAGGAAAAATATACTTTTATAGATATATATAAATATCCTGTGTGATTTGTTTTTTTATCACCTTCCATATATGTACAAAAAGTCTTTGCTAGTCTTGTTTCTGCTTTAAGTGCTTCTAGAAAAAGAAAATCTCTTGAGAATAAACCATTACATACGTTTTGTGATACTTCAGATGTATATAGTCTCCCACTTATCCTTTTCATGTCTTTTGGATGTGTGCAGTATTTCAGATGGGTTACTGTATTTCTGCAGTCTGAGCATGTGTCTCTCTCGATACTTGGATGAATAGCTGGTAGAACCAGCTCAGCAGAGCAGGATTGTCTATACATCTGTAATTTAGCATAGTTGATAAATACTGAGGAAGATGCAGTATTGTTTAAATAGATGTCTTTTAGTCAGGTTGTTAACTTCAAGAATAAACTTTGTATTGAAAATAAGAATACTTGTTCTCATTCCCAGGATTGCCTTGGTTCTGTCGCTCTAACTTTGGCACTTCCCGTGTGCTGACCTGCTTCCTCCTCTGCTGCAGGCACTCTTTTGTGTGCGTCCTGAGGGTGTGAGACTTAACAGCTAGGTTGTGTTCACATGTGACAATGCAATATAACTTAAAGAAGAATTTTAGAGTGGAGTTTGTAAATTTGTTTATAAGAAGAAATTAGAGTATTTTCAGTCTGTTTGGTTCATTGGATGATGTTCATTGGATGTGACCAAAAACTGGCTTCACTTCTTCATCCACCCAAACTGTCAAATTCTGAGGATATAATTTGCTGCTTCTTTCTTTTTCACTGCAGCAAACCTTCATAGCTGAAAGTAAGTTAAGTTTACTGGAAAGCTGTCTGCAAAATCTAGTCACTGTAAACTACCTTTGGCACAAGAGTAATGGTAACAAATTTTTGTTTAGCTCTTGACTGACACTTCTGACAGCTAATCCAAAATATGGTGTTGAATGTAAATGGATGCTCTACTAAGCTACTACCATCCCTTGTTGGCCCAAGAATAGAAAACAAAGAAGTTGCCCTTTTATGTGTTGAGTCTGAGGCTTATGACTGGTCATTGTTCCTTCAAGTAGTACTTCCTTATTTAATCAGTCAGTAGTAACTATGCTAGACTTAGTGAACTGTAGTGTGTTTTTTCAAAATGTTGAGGTAGGGTTTTTTTTCAGCTGAAGATGAGGATAAACAAACCTAATGCTGTGAGTAAGGGTCTGCAGAAAGAAAGGCTGAAACTGCCATTCCATTATCATTTTCCTGTTTCTTAAAGAGCACATCTGCTCTCTTCCCAAAGCAGTAAAGATGATACTTTAAATCATATGAAGTGTGAAATCCACCAACTGTTAGTGAACTGCTCTCATCAACCACTTTGTGCTGTTAGGATACTGAAATTTATTGTTAAGGACCTCGGGTCTTAACATGGGGAGTGAAAACCTATGTTCAGATGAGTAAGAATGGTTGCATGTAAGGTACAGCTGGCCTTGAGAAAGGGCAGGCACAAACCCATTTATAAAGACTGGTATGGTATGAAGTCGGATAGTGCATTGTCATTTGACAACAGATGAAGTCTGGGAATAAAGCAGTTAAACAGTACCTTACTTCCTTCCAAAGGAAATTATCAAAAGTAATATTCCAGAAAAGCCTTTAATATATTGTAGTGTTCAGTGAATTCCTATCTAATGGTTTTGTCTTCAGCAATGAGTTAGTTTCACATTGAAGAGAAGTAGAAGAACACTAACTCTATAATATGGCCTCTGATTCCTCAAGCTGTAATTATCCTTTCTCTCTCTTTTATTCAGCCAAAACAGAGTGGAATATCCTTCAGCAATGAGTTAGTTTCATATTGAAGAGAAGTAGAAGAACACTAACTCCATAATATGGCCTCTGATTCCTCAACTGTAATTATCCTTTCTCTTTCTTTTATTCAGCCAAAACAGAGTGGAATATGAAAAGAGGGTTCGAGCACAAGCCAAGAAGTTTGCACCATCATAAGCATCTGTCATGCAGCATCTTAAAAAGGAAGGGATTGATTTGGCAAGAACTTGTTTACAAAACTTTTGCAAAATCTAATGTTGCTATGTACAATTAATATCCACTTAGGGGAGGGGGTTGTATGTGTGCCATTTTCCATATTCGCCACTTGTATACAGTTCTAAATTTGCTGAATTGCCCCCAGTTTTTTCATACAGGGTCTCTTCCTTCAGTCTTTTGTATTTTTGATTGTTATGTAAAACTTGCTTTTATTTTAATATTGATGTCAGTATTTCAACTGCTGTAAAATTATAAACTTTTATACTTCTATAAATTCACTAGTATCTCTAGTTACTTTGCTATCTGATGCAGGCATGCTTTAAAATGTTAGAACTATATTTAGCCTCTAGCTGGCTGTATGAAGAAAAATCATGTCCTCCACCCCCTTCCCTCCCTGAATTTGTTTTTCTATCTTTCAGAAACTAGGTTGTTATTGCTTAAGAGCCTCTGAGATCCAAAGTCAGCCAGCATCCTTATTCTGCATCACTTCCTTTGTGTTTATATGGCGTTCTGTCTGTGTTGCTGTTTAGAGTAAATAAACTGTTTATATAAAGGGCTTTGTTTCATTTATCTTCATTAAAATAATTAAAAGACTGCCATTTAAATGGCTCTGAACACAATTCAGTTCAAGTCCTGTTTTTAAGGCCTGTGATGCTGCACTGACCTTTTGTTTGGATGTTGCCTTCACTTCTTTTTCCCTGCCCCCACCCCAACATGAATAGCCCCCTTCTTTGGGCCCGGAGCGGTAATTGCAGCTATTCAACTCTGCTCAGTTCCTTAAACAGCTTAAACTAACCAGAGACCAACTGCTTACTGTGTGAAATGGCATCAACATACTGGTGAGACCACCTTACCATAAAATCACACAAGCATTAGACTGATGTGAACAGTAGTAGAAGCTCTGCAAGGAATGCACGGGACCTACAGCAACTGGGGATTTTAAATGGTACTTGTTTATCAGAAATATTTCTGTGCCTTCTTCCATATGTCAATGTATATAGCTTTTAGGAAAAGGACGTGCTCTATGCAATTACAGTTTCCTTCTGTAAAGGAAATCAGTTAAATTATGTAAGTTATTTTAATGTATGTCAAGCTGATATGCCCTCTATTAAACTTTCACTGCTTTTTTAATTGTATTTTTTAATCAAAATCGTTCTGCAAAACAAATGAAGTGTGAAAAGCTTTGTTCCATCTGAGCTGTAGCTTCAGTGATTTTGTTATTAAAAGTGGCTACTGCTAGAGACTTAAGTTACTCGAAGTGTGATACAGCTCTGATCCCAGATCTGTTCTTTCTGGTTTTGGTTATGACAGCTTTGTAACAGAAAAGCATTCCCCCAAATTAGAAAAGCCAACATCCTTATGCTATTCTCAAACCTTTAAAAATTTATTGTATAGAGTTGCTTCCTTGTCACTATCTAGAAATCCTTGTTAGATCAGCTGATTTGGGAAAGATTTCATATGCTTGGGGTGGGAAAGTAACTGAGAAACTTGGGTTAAAGGAAAAGGTTCTCTGTCAAATTCATTTACTTGGGCTTTTTTTTTTTTCTTTTTAAAGGGAAATGGAATATTTGTACCACTAACACTGCTGCTGTGACTCCCAGTTCTAGCTCCAGTAGGGCTAGCATTTAATTGCTCTAGTAGAAGACAGTTCAGAGCTGAAAATCTTGCTGTGACTTGAAGAACTTGTATATATGAAGGTAACATTACTAATTGTCCTCAGTATCGCCAATTCTGCTGAAGGGTTGCTAAGTTTAGATTAGTTGGGTGCTGGAAACTAAAAAGAACATTCTGTTTAAATGTACAGAAAACACCTGCTAACAGCTGCACTTAGACTAGACAGATTGGTGGGCATATGGAAAAGTGAACTGAGATACTAGTGCTGGTGAGAGTCTCAATCTCAAGTCTTTGAGGGCCAGACAACGTGCATTTCTGACTTGGTCGAGTGCCACTTCCAGTAACGAGAATGCAGATGGCATTGCTGACCCCATTACCTGGAACTTCATGGTACTGTTCTGAACATAAAGTGCCAAGAACTTGTATGTTGCTTAGGTCTGACTATCAGAGTAAACAAAAAATGGCACGTAAAGCTGCTGAAAAGACATACTGAGATGTTAAAACAATTCTAGGAAGCATCTTTTCCTTTTAAGCTTAGGTAGGCAATTTACCTTAAACTAGATGAAGTAGTTGAAGTACGTATGGCAGGTTCAGGCCTGCAAAAAGTCAGAGGGTCCTTATGTGCCAATAACTTGGTCATGTTTTCCTGTTGAAATATAGCCTAGAAGGGTTTACTTAAGGTACTATTAGGTGAAAATAATCCCTATAAACCATTTTCCAGGCACATTGATTAGAATACATTTTTTTTAACTTGTAAATAAGCTTCAGGCTCTTTACATAATAATTCCATAAACAATTACCTAAAAATTAAATAGTATAAAGTTTTTATGTGCATAAATAGACCTGTAAGCCCCCATCCAGCCTGAGCTCCACCTAAAGAACGGCATTTGCTAAGCACTGAGTTACAGGTGAACAAGCCACACTCTTAATTGTTGACAAGAAAATTTCTTTATATAAAGATGTTACAACTCTTTGGGATTGTTGGGGGGAGGGAGTTCTGTACTTGTATGTGGGGGTTTGTGTGCATTTGTTGGGGTTTTGGGTTTGTTTGGGTTTTTTACTTTTCAAGTAGTTGATTTATTGGCTGTTGTTGAATCTTCTGGACTGCTCTCATCACTGCTTTCAGTGGCGTCATCTGGAGTGCTCACGCTGTCCTCCTCAGATTCTTCATCACTTTCTGCTAGTCTGGAAATATTTTTCAGAATTTTAAAACCAAAACAATTCATAATATAAGAAAAGTAGTATTTAAATTGAATTTCATTACCCTGGAGAATTGATTGGTCTGTTGGGATTTGAAAATTCTTTTCCTGAGTCAACGTCAAATGGATCTGGAAAACGAAGGAAAACACACACACATTGATGAAGGTGGCATATTTATTGGTCTGCCTTCAGTTTTCATTTCAGATTATTGGCAGGGGGGGAAGGCACAGGAATTCTGTTTCAGTTTTCTGGTAATTTTACTATAGCAGTTTGGTCAGAAACTAGGGGAGGTGAGAAACAACTGTTAAGTCCTGTCCCCCGATTCTAGTCTTTGCTCTTTTCCATGCCCTTACCCTGTGGTCCAAGGGGTTCACTAGCTCTTTAGGGGCAGTCAGACTGTACACATGGGTTTCTAAGGCTTTTGGTGAGAAAAGTGGGCCATTCTCAGAATGGTTTAGTTCTTAGAGGGCTAGCTAGTGAGTTCACTTCAACTGAGAGGTGAAGCCTGGCTGTCCAGGTGTAGCTCTTGCTGAGTAAGGAAATGGCTAGATTTACTTTGGCTCCCACAGCTGGGGAGAACTGTTACCTCTGAGAAGTCAAACAAGGCATGACAGCTTTGGTACCACAGCCCATCCAGAAAATACACGATTGGGGGTGGAAGTGTGGTTTATTTGGCAGAGCAGTGTTGCCCCTTCAGAACTGTCTTTAGTTTAATGTAACAGTAGTCAGGCTTCCATCAAACAACAGGATGACTTCCCTCAGCCCAGTGTGTCCTGGGAAAGAGATGGAAGTGCAGAGAAACTAAAGGTGTCTACTTCCTCCTTACAGTGTGATCCCCTGTCTGACTTTTATGGGATTTAACCACTGTGAAAGGAAAACAGTAACTAGGAGCATCTCTTCATATGTTCTTGATTGTTAGATTTGGCTTTTATTTCTTGCTGTCTTGAATGAGACCAAACACTCACCTGGGAAAACAGCCTGAAATACTGGGATATCTACTGTACTTACTATAAGTTATTTTCATTATCTGATCTTAAACATCTTGATTAGGGATTATATAAACATGTCCACTGAAGGTCTTTCTTGAGTTCATGTATACCTAACTTGCTGTCAGACTCTATGCCTGTATTTCTCTTCTAGTCCTCCTGAATTACTGGTCTTTTTACTCACAAGCTGCTTTTAATATGTGCAGATCAGACGAGGAAGCATCGTATTTTCTTTTTACTCCTTAGTTCTCCAATATCCTTAATTTAATCAGGGTAACCACTCCACAGTTCAGCTGTGCATACCCTGCTATATGCATTAAATTGCTTTAGTCATTTTCATCTTTGTGAGTTGAAAAAAATAGGCAAACTCGCTTGTAAGAGAAGAATACACAGTATAAGACAGAACATCACATCTCAACAAAGCTCTTACCTTCTGCCTTGCCAATAGTTTCATGAGAGTAAAGGAAAAGATTGTAAGGAAGCTAGTTGGGGGGTGGTGGTGGTGTCTGTTTTTTCTTACCTATTTCTTCATCTTTTGTTTCGTGGGCACTGGCTAAAAAGTCCTTTTCAACTCTCAGCACTTCTTCCTGGCACTGACAGGCTGCGTATTTTTCCAAGAGATTTTTGTTCAAGTCAATAAATGTCTTGCCCCACTTAAATTTCCTTAGAAGAATGGTGGCCAGGTCTGGGAATCCTACAACAGAAAATAAATGATCAGTTTCTTTTTCAGTGTGAGATTTCCCTGAGCTCACAGGTTTCTCAGTTCAGTACATACATATGTATTGCTACAATAGTGAGATGTTTGCCAGAATTTTTTTCAGTGTTCAGGGATTCAGGCTTTTAAAAAAGTTAAAAATCTTTTCAGATTTGAGTTTAAGTTAAAATATCTAACTGAATCCAAGAAAAGTTTCTAGTCTTTTAGTGAACGTTATATAAAACTACTTTGTACAGGTAACAAACAATTCAGGCTCCGGCTCCCACAGTCCTTCAGTAAGAGCAGTTGTACATACAGTAATTTGATGTGTGCAGTACAGTAGAGCATGTCCCTTCAGTTGTCAAGGAAATTCTGGGATGATTTTGCAAAACATCACAAGAGGGGGCAATTTCTTTTGTTTTTAACCAGACACCCCCCCCATTAACAGGCAGCCGTTACCTCTCATCAAGGCACAAGTGCCTCAGTGTTCACCCTCTGGCTTCTCTGGCTTTTTTCAAACAGTTTTTCTAACATCAAGTGCCATCCTGACAAAACCAGGATCATCAGTTTGTGCGTCCTGTTCAACAGCTGACCTGAACACCCCCCAGATACCTCCATGCCACCAGATACAAGTACTTGGAAGAAACCCAGACAATCTGATCCCAAACTCAACAGCGTGATGACCGGCGGGATGGCATCACTGTTTATTCTATTGCAGAGATCTCTTCTGATTTATTAGGGATTGCTGGTGATGTTTTTCCCACCAGAAACATTTCAGCCTACCAGCAATGCAAAATGTTGCAGCAAAAGCTTCCACGCAGGACAGCTTGCACGGGCGGCCGTAGTTGACGGGATTGGCAGCCACCAAGTAGGGCAGCAGCCGCGGGTGACCTCCTCTCATTCTCTGAAAGGGAGTTTCTTCTAGTTTGGCCCAAGAGCAATCTATGACTGCAATTCCACTCTGGGCAATGACATGCCTGAAAAGAAGAAATATCACTGTAGTTAAAAATTCTTATCATCGTACTGATAGAGCAAGTTTAAGTGAGAATTAAAATTGCCACTTTATACTGGCAACAGATCTGCATACAAGCCCCCCTTCCGTCAATCAAAAAGCATAGGTTTTACAAAAATCTAAAATACAGATGTAATGAGAAAGAATAATAACGTGCTTTGCTGCTGAACATGCAGGTGGCAAAAAAAGTTTGTGTTTCAGACTGAAAGTGCAAAATTCTAGGCTTAAAAATGTGGAGGAAGTGTGGTTAATAGTAACGTTCAAATTCTTTAAAGACTGAGATTGTCCCATAGCCTCTAGAGACTAATCTTTTCTCTGAGTAAATACTTCTGTATAAAAATTCTGCAGGCACGTTTGGAGAAAGTTCTCAGCGTTTCCCCCAAATACATGTTCTCGTTACTGCACCATGCTGCCCAGCTGAAGAACTTGAATATGGAGCCATAAAAACTGCAGTAGCTGTTGGCCCATGACTCTAAACAGACCAACCTACAAACCACAGGCTTTGATTTCTCACTGGCAGCTACAGGTGCTTTTTTTCACCCCATTCCAGCTGAGTAAAAAATGCCTGATTTGATAAGACGGCTCTATTTCTCACGCTCGGGCATCAACACGATGTAAAAGGAAGGGCAAGCTCGCTCTGCAGCGCGGTTTTGGCCACCAGTCGGTGGTTCAAGGCTTCTCCCCAAGGTCCCACCACCGCAGCCCAGGGGCTCGGCCGGCCCCGGGCCCTACCTGTCCGCGGGGGAGACGCACTCGGTGGCCAGCGGGCTGAGGACCAGCCCCGGGAACCGCTGGCGGAGCCGCAGGGTGCGGAGCAGCCCTTTTCGGGCCAGTTTCCTCCCGGTGCATTTCTTGGGATCGCAGTGTCCGAGCTCCCACATGGCGAGGGGGCAGGGGAACTTCTTCGCCTCCGGTTCGCCCGCCTCCTCGCCCTCCAGGCTAGCTGAAAACGGCAGCCATTAGTGCTCGCTAGTGACTATTAGTGCTCACCCCCGCCGTCTCACCGGGCCCGGTTCGGAGCCCACCGCCCTGCCAGGGCCCACACGGTGCGGCCTGGCTGCGGCCTGCTCTCACCCCTCAGCGCGGCCTCCGCCTCCGCCGCGAAGGTGTCGAGGCCGCGATGGCCGCCCCGCCGGCCTCCCCTCCGCCGCTCAGCCCGCCGGCCCCGCTCCATCTCGCCGCGTCTGGGCGGAGCGGCCGCCCCTCTCCGTCCCGCCGCCCTTTCCGTTTCCAGCGGAAGAGGCGATGGCGGCCGCCCGGCTGCTGCTGGCGGCGGCGCTGGGCGCGGCGCTGGGTGAGCGCGGGGGGACGCGGAGCGGGGCGGGGGGGTGGCTCGACGGGTGGGTCCGCTCGCCGCCTGCGGTAACCGCTCTCTGCCCGGCAGGTCTCTTCGCCGCCGCGGGGAAGATGAAGATCGTGGAGGAACCGAACACGTTTGGGTAGGCGGCTCCTTCCCCCCCCCAACCCGCTCGCCCCGTCCCGGTGGTGGGATCACCCCGGGGGAGCCGCCGTGGGTGTCGGGGCGCGGGCGGGGGGGAGGGTGTGAGCACGGCCCGGTGCACAGCTCCGCCTGAAACCCGCAACTCTCCTTCCTCTGAAAGGTTGAATAACCCGTTCTTGCCGCAGACGAACAGGCTGCAGCCGAAGGTGTCCCCGTCCGCGGTGTCGGGTACGTGCGGTGCCTTTTCTGTAGTTGCCAGCGTTCAGTGACAGCCATTGGCAAACTCCCCTGCCTTGACTGTGTGCGGACAAAGAGTAATTTTACTTCATCAGCTTCATGGAAAATAGGAAGAGGCAAATACATTTTACTGTGCTCCTGAAGGGTTAAAACCTAGGTTAGCCAGAGCTGGTTTTTCTTACCATGCTAGCCATATGTTTCATTCTGTGTCTTTTGAGCCAGTACAGATCCTTCCTATCCTTACTAAAAACTTTTTTTCTCCTTGAAACAATACCTGACATCCTTGAGATTGCCATCTAAAAGTCATCCCGTCATCTGGTAGTACTTAATACTCAAAAATTTGTTTTTAAAAAAGCCCTAAGACTAGTCTTGGAACAGGTCACAGAGGTCCAGTTTCACACCCAAAGCCTGGGTGCTGCTGTAAATCCACCACTTCAGCAAAATAAACAGGAATCCAAAAAAAATCTAGACCGTATATGGAGCAGAATAGATAAAATAAACATTGAATGCAAAAGGAAATGTCTCTCTGCTAACCTCAGGGACAGGCTTAAACCTTGTTCAGGTTCCATAAAGGCATTTTGGTACGGTGACACTGAACGGGGTTATGCTTGATGTCTTCTGTCATGTTTTGTAAACTCAAATCAAATGTATAAATTCTACATGTACTGCACGTGAAAAGTGAAATAGTGAGAGACATGGGATTAGTAATAGTTAAAATGCTGAATGGAAAGATGACAAAAACAGCAGAAAAAAGGTTAAAAGCACAATACTCTAGAAATCCTTCTTTCCTGGATGTGGGAACTTCTGTGTGACCAAAAATTCTGTGTCTGTGGAACTGAAATCTAGAGCGTGAAACCCTGTCTTGTACAACTACTGCTTTACTATGGAAACCTTCCTCATTCTCTTCTTTTAGAGGAGAGTTGGGGTAATAATTCCTGTAAGGAAATGGAGATACGAGTTTAACACGTTCCTCAGGGACATTCAGATTTGCTTTTCTTCCTCTGTGGGGAGAGCATCCTGATCACTGAGGCCCAGATTGCACGTGGCAGAGGGACAAACCCTACTGAAATACCCCTGTAGCACATACTTGAGAACTTTTGGCCCTCTTTCAAATAACAAGTTACCTCTCTTAGATTCCTTTGCCAGCAAGGCTGGAATAGTCAATTCTAGCAGAACTGTAACTGCTGACCTGTCTGACACTAAAAACTGTATCTTGTTGAGTACTAACTAGATCAGACCGTGAAGGCAAACTGTGGAAAGGAATCTCTAGTTAGAGAATCTTGGCCAAACTTAATATGCAGCTTTGTTGATCTTCTGAGCAGGTGGGCTTTACCAGTGTAACCTTGAGGAGTTTGCATGATTTTGGGGACAGTCGGCCACCAAGCAAGACTCCTAGTGATTTCAGTGTTAGATTTTTGGGGAGATCTGCACTGATGCTTCCTTCTATGGATCTGGCCTCTCAATAGTAGTTTGTTCGTGTACAGGTTTCTTACTTCTATCATAGAAAAAGGCTTATCTGTTTCACTTACTCATTCTAAACAGTAGTTTGTTTGTGTACAGGTTTCTTACTTCTATCATAGAAAAAGGCTTATCTGTTTCACTTACTGAAGATGAAGAATGTTAAAGATCATGATGCAAACTTATATGGCACTGGTGGGAACTTGCAGAAATCCATATGGAAGATACAAATTTCCTTATGTACAGCAGAAAACTAAATTTGTCACATAGTCCTTACAGTTTTGTCACCACAGTAACGTGCTTAAATTTAACCAGAACATTATTCTTCCTTGATGCCATTTTGTGGTGTTTCTAGGCCCTGCACATCTCTTCAGGCTTGCTGGCAAGTGTTTCAGTTTTGTGGAATCCACGTGAGTAACAGATTTGGATATTTGATTCTGTATATTTATTAGGAACAAAGTAGGTTTTTATTTCAGTCTGAAACATTTCTTACTTTCTTTTCTTTTTTCTTTTAAGGTATAAATATGAGTTTTGTCCTTTCCATAATGTCACTCAGCATGAGCAGACTTTTCGTTTTTTATTTCAGTCTGAAACATTTCTTATTTTCTTTTTCTTTTCTTTTTTCTTTTAAGGTACAAATATGAGTTTTGTCCTTTCCATAATGTCACTCAGCATGAGCAGACTTTTCGATGGAATGCCTATAGTGGGATTTTGGGGTGAGGCTTTTTCAACCTTTAAGTTTTACCTATGTTGTTAGCAGACCATTATATTGTCAAAAAGGAGGCAATTTTAAAATTTAAGATTCTTTTATTGGTCAGGTCATAGTAGTTCCCAAGGTGTTATGCATAAAAATACCCTGTCTTGAAAAATTCAGATTTTTTTTGTTGATAAATACTAACCTGTTTTAGCTGGAGGCTGATTAATAGCTAGTGCCAACTGAGGTGTGACGTGTTCATGTGAGAAATTCAATAATGTGTAACTACAGCTTCTATTAACCAAGATTTCGTGTCTGTTAACTATTTTCACTTTGAAGTGCATATAACCTTACAAAATGAAATGAGTGCTTTATGCCTAGTTGTTGTGTTCAACAAATTTAATAAAAGGTAATAAAAGACTCAATGTAGACTCCCAAAAGTATCCCAAAGATTTAAAAACCCAGAGTATTCAAATCATAAGACCTAAAATAAATTTATTTATAAACCTGGGCACTGCTTTAAAATCACTGCCTTTCTAAATATTTTATATATAGATGTCTCGTTTTTTTCTTACACACACTATAATTGGTGAGCCAATATGAGAGGAAAAGGGTACATCAAGATGCAGCAGTAGAGGCTAGTTTTTGTAGGTGCCCTCACCAGCACTAAAATACTGCAAACAATGTGAGTTGTGCAGGGTACTTGGCATCATGGAATTTGATTTTTGAATTTTTTTTGTGGGATTGATTATATTTTATTGGATTTAAACACAGATTTGTAAGTGCAAATGGTTTGCAAACTGAAAGGTGATCCAAAGCTGTGCTCTCAAAGTAATGTTGATGTGCTCCATATAGTGGCCTGGATACCAAACTGCACTGTTTATAAGGTCTTGGCTGTCAGGAATGGAAATATTAAACAACAAAAATGAATATATACAGTTAAATTGAACAGGGTGTAAAGGTATTCCTGTTTTTCTTCCTGAGTGCTCACCTTTTTCTTTCCAGTAACAAAATAAAATGATGTCCTGTTTTTTTCAGAATCTGGCATGAATGGGAAATTGAAAACAACACATTTGTTGGGATGTGGATGAGGGAAGGAGACTCATGTGAAACCAAGAACAGACAGACAAAGGTATCATAACCCAGACTACGCTAATTCAGACAGCATGGTCTCTACACACACTCATGACATTCTCTGCACTGAAACATTCCTACCTTGAAGAAGTCATCATTTAAGATGTGGTATAAAACATAAAGATGAATTGCTGTAGGAGCCAGGTGAATGGATGGAGGAGGGAGGCTAAAATCAGGATAAAATTTTGAAGAAGTTTTACTTATGGATTCTTATTGGTTGCTTTTAACTCCTTTTTTTTACTTGATAGAGTGGAATATTCTGGTATTATCACATTGGTTGCTTTTAATGCCTTTTTTTCCTTGATAGAGTGGAATATTCTGGTATTATCACTACTGTAGGAACATAGAGTCCTTTTTAATTCATGGTAGGAAAAAGCAATTTGTTGAACTCAAGATGCCAGCCTATTGTGTTTTACAGATCCAATGAATTAAAGCTCACATTCCCTGGGGACATAGATCACTATCCTGAAGAGTTAACGATTCCATATAGTTCACAATTAATTTTAAACAGAGCAATTTGTTGAATTCAAGATGCCAGCCTATTGTGTTTTAATGAATTAAACCTCGCATTCCCTGGGGACATAGATCACTATCATGAAGAGTTAACGATTCCATATAGTTCACAACAGGCTGCTTTTTGTGCAGGAGATGCTTCGCTGTTACAATGATGGGTGACAATACTTGAGAGAGGGATGTATAGTTGGAGTAATAACTAATGTGAAGATGGGATAGGGGACAAAATAGGGAAATATGGTGCTTGGGACTCCAAGGAACAATGATAGGTGGGGGGATCATTTCCCATTGGGAAGCAATTTTCACATTTGAAGATGTGCTTGCTAGGATTCTTTTTCTGTGGGTGACAGCACTGGAGGCTTTGATGTGATGGTATGTGAAGAAATGCATTTGCTGGCGTTGGAAGACAGCAAACCAGTGCTGGTCCTGTTTCACGTGGAGGTACTTTGCTCATCTTTGTTTTTACTGATGTTTAGGTTCATCTAGTTTGTGGAAAAAGCAATAAATTGGCTTATGTGTCTGAGCCAAGTACGTGTGTTTACTCTCTGACATTTGAGACTCCTCTCGTGTGCCATCCCCACTCTCTCTTAGGTAAGATTTAGAAAATAATGTGTGTGTGGAGCAGCTGGAATATTACACCAGCCTCAGAGCATCAATGTTTAGGTTCTTTGAGTTTGTAACTTGATATAAATGAATATTAAATGTAACATAGAATATGAAGTGTATTTTAAATCCCAATCGTTATAACACACAGGTATTTCTCAAATAAATTGGGACGGCTAGTATAGAGCCAGTGAGGGGTTCTTTGCTTTTTTCTTGGACTGGTTGTAGGAATAAGCCCTGTAGTATTTGCTCATTTACTGACATTACAAAAAAGGAGAGCTAGAATTACATTCAGCAAAGAAATAGGAGGCCAGCCGGCTGGAAATAAGAGAAAAAAATTGGTTGGTGGCATTCTCCAGAAACTTTGAATGTGTGAAGTGGAATTTAAGTTTAACCCCAGCTCTTGAAAGCAGTACTGACTGTGGACTGTATAGAAACACTGAGTTCTTAAAACAAATTTGCTTGCCTGCTACTGGAGGAGCATTTAACTAACGCAGGACAGCGCTGTTGGTTTTGACATGGCTTGACTTCCATTTTTCAGTTTATCCGACTCTGACTGAAGCACTACAAAGGAAGTGGGATGAAGCAGAGCAGCTTCTCTACGATGAGCTCATAACTGACCAGGTCTGTTAATGTCTTCCATCTCCATTTGGTGAAGAACAATCACTGTGGAAGAGCCAAACTTGGCTTCCAAAGTTTCTCCTTGTGGAATGGATGCATTTGTTCTGCAGTTGGCAAATAGTAATTTTTGTTCTTTGTTATTGCTATATTGACTGGTAACTGTAATGTGTTCTAAGTGAAGCCTGAGGAATTTGAGCAGCTGGTGCAAATTACAAGCAGAGATGAGAGTGGAGTGGATTGATGTATCATCTTTTGGAAACTTTCTTTTTTCAGGGATACAAAAAATTACTGAAAGAGATTTTTGAGGAAGCAGGACTTCTAAAAGCAACAGAAGACAAGGAAGTTGAGAAACAGAATAAGAAATTAAGTCTGGAATTTGAAACGGTGGAGAAGTGCAGTAAGGTATGGAGCATAATATTTACAATGTGGAATTAAATTGCAACTTTTTTGCTGTATGACAGTATTAGTGTGACAGCGTTATGGAAATACTCTTTGGATTCAGCTCAAATCTGTTCATGGGATTATCTTTTCTTCTTTTCTGGTTTCAGTAACAGTCTGCACACAGAGTGATTTGATATCTTTATTCTAGCCCTTAAGTCAAAAACAAATCAGCACAACTGAATGCCCAATAAGAAAACAGGGAGAGTATGTAGAAATTAGTGTAAATGCTTGGGTTTATGAACACCTTGTAAGGGCTTTTTCAGTCTGGAAATAGGAAGGAATTACTGGTGAAAATAAATGTGTAACCAGCCTTGGGAATGTTGACACTTCTCTCTGTGAATAATTACCCAGGCTTGTGTCAGAAGGCGTTGGCTGTTACACAAGCAAAAGGCAGAATGCTCTATGCTGTGTTCATTTCTGAATGGCTTCTATGTGTGTCAACAGTCTTTCTGCAACAGAAATGAAACTGGGAAAACAGGTGTGCTCAGCCTAAAAGAGTGCAAGCTGAACATCAGAAAGAGAACATGGAAGGGGAAAAAAACCCGCCCACAGTAAAAAAAAATGGGGCTGCTTTGAAATTTCAGATATGTGGTTTGAGTGTAAAAAGTACTAAGCAATCCCTGGCTCTGTAAGTTCACAGAAAACTGCTGAAAGCTGGAACGGGAAGTTTCTAGGTCAAGAGCTGAGGAGGTGCAAATTTCCAGACGTTATGATATAAAATAAAATAAGGCTAGTCCTGTAGCAAACTTTTGACTCTAATTTCGTGCTGTACTAAAAGGCTAGTTAGAGGCTAGATCTGAAATAGTTAGAAAAGGCACTCCTAATTTTTACTCTCAGGCTTGGGAAAAGCTGGCTCCTGTTTTGGCAACATAGAAATATATGTTTTTATAAAATCTGCACCTTGTTCTTGCAATAAGCAGTTTAAGATCTTTTAAGTCAAAAGCTGTAACAGCTGTGCATAGACCCATTGTTTTTTATAAACTCGTTATTTTATGTACGCATTTGGAGAGTGGGAGAGCCATTTTAAATGTATTTTCTTTCTTAGGAATACAAGGAACTTTCTAAAGAACTAAAAAGACTTCAAGATTTATTGACTCAGCATGGTATTGCATACAAAGGAAATTCTGGTGAGTTCTTTGGTACCGTTCTTTTTCATTATTGTCTATTTAGAATTATTACATGAACTAAGGAGAATTTAATTTCCCTGAAATATATATTTATGCCTTCTATGTTCAGAATAACCTCAAGAAAACAATGAACCTTTGAGCAAATCAAATATACTTAAAATTAGTCGCATAATTTTTTTGCTCCTTTTGTTTTGAGAAACTTTCTTCTCTCTTTCTAAATTGGTGACTTTCTAGGGAAAAAATACTAGAATTCTTGTAAAACATTTTATCTGCATGTTTAAACTATGTGTTACTTGCACAGTATTTCTGCTTGTTTGGTAGTTCATTTAATTATTGTAGATTGGAACTGTATAATCAAAAGCAGAATTCATAGCTTACTCTAGATGACGACTTTCAAAACTATTTAGTGAATTCTGCAACAAAAATGTTTTGGTGTTCAAGAGCAGAATTAACTAATGTCTTAAACTAAATATTTTAGCTGGAAATACCAGTGTTGAACATCAAAATCACAAACTGACAACTGCGGTGACAACTGTTCTTAATGGGTCAAAGGATGACGAGCACCTTCATGGCGACACGGGAATTTGGAATGAGACTGTATGAGGAGACCTGGGTGGTAAACAGCAGGTTCAGAGGGAATGTCAAGCAAGTGGAACGTGTGTCGTGGCACTAAAATGATTTACCTTCTGCGAGTGTTTTTCACTTCTGCCCCTAAAGCGAAAGGAACATAATGGAGCGAGGGCTCGCCATCACAGAGAACAGGTGGCTTGTTTCTGAGAATGTTTGTAAAATTCCTTTCCTAAGGCCAGTATTGGGCATAGGCTTACAGATTCTGTGTCTCCAGTCCCCTCCTGGATCAAGCATGGTAAGGGATGGTGTAAATACAAAATAGTTCATGATCAATGCCATCAGATGTTGTATGAGAGGAAATATGCACAATATTAAGAACATGTTATTTCATATGCATGTTTAAATGTTTTCTGTGCAGACTTTAGCAGAAAAAGAAACGTTTTCTGCTGCAGCAGTGCATTATGCACCACCCCAGCCACCCGCGGGAGTGGATGTCATCTTTGGGTAGCGGGTGGGTAAAATGAAAAGCAGTTCAGCGTCTGATGGAAAGGTGCTATGAAAATACCAAATTGTTATAAAAGAATAGTTGTGTCAAGGGAATACATGGCAATTCTCTGTATGTAATATGAAATAAAGTGGACTTTTCCAACACCAGCTGTGGAAACATTACTGTAAGAGCTGGTGGAGGCTGAGAACGCTGCCTCCAGCCATTGTCATAGAATCATAGAATGGTTTAGGTTGGAGGGACCTTAAAGATCATCTAGTTATAACCCCCCTGCCAAGGGCAGGGACACATCCCACCAGACCAGGTTGCTCAAAGCCCCATCCAGCCTGGCCTTGAACACCTCCAGGGATGGGGCATCCACAGCTTCTCTGGGCAACCTGTTCCAGTGTCTCACCACCCTCACAGTAAAGAATTTCTTCCTGAGATCTAATCTAAATCTCCCCTCTTCCACTTTGAAGCCATTACCCCTCCTATCACTACGTGCCCTTGTCAAGAGTCCCTGCCCATCTCTCCTGTAGTCCCTTTAGGGACTGGAAGGGGCTATAACTTCTCCCCGGAGCCCTCTCCAGGCTGAACAACCCCCACTCTCTCCGCCTGTTCCCCCAGCAGGGGTGCTCCAGCCCTCCCATCATCTCCGTGGCCTCCTCCGGACCCGCTCCCACAGGTCCACGGTCCTTCCTGTACTGAGATCCCCAGAGCCGGACGCAGCACTGCCGGGGGGTCTCACCGGGGCGGCTGTCCGCTTCCTCAGCGCGCTGCTGTCCCGTCCGTTCCCCGTTCCCGGCATCGTCGTGTCTCCAGCGGCCCAGCGCCCCCCCCCGCGCCCCGCTCTCCCGGCGCCGGGCAGGCCCCGGCCAGGCCGTCCCTCAGCCGCCGGGACCCCCGCCGGGCGCCGTCGCGCTTCCGCTTCCGGTGTGCGCGCGAGGCGGCGGGATGAGCGGGGCGCTGGGCCGCTGGCGGTGAGGCGGCGGCGGCGGCGGGATGAGCGGGGCCGGGGGCGCCGGCGGTGCCGGTCGGTGTGTCCTGTCCCGTCCCGTCCCCCCGCCCCTGACGCGTGTGTCTTTGCAGGGCGCGGGGCTCCCTGCGCCTGCCCGGCCCCCGGAGGTGGCTGTCGCGGCGGCGGGAGCCGGAGGAGGAGGGCGCGGAGGACGAGGGGCCCATCCCCTTCTCGGCCAGCAAGGCCAGCCCGCGGGTGTGGAGCGTCGGGCGGTCCATGGGCAGCGACCATGAGCGGTCGTGGTTGAAGGTGCTGCCCGTCAGCGTGCTGTGCGGCGGGCTGCTGCTCTGGGCCGTCTTCCGGGAGAAAACGGAGATCGACGAGCGGCTGGAGGCGATTTTCTCCGGGCAGGAGGTGGATTCGCTCGATGCGGCCCCAAAAAGCGCGGCTTCCTTGGGGCCGCAGCAGGAGAAGTGACGGGAGCGCGGCTGCAGCGAGGGAGCTGCCGGCAGCCAGCCGGTGTTCGCCCGGTACTGACACTTTAACGGGAAAACTTGTTTATTTTTCCAGCCCACCGGCAGCCTTACCTCACAGCCTTGATTCCCTCAGCCCCTGCCGCTGGGCCGGGGGTCGTAATTCACACTGGTAGCGCAAGGAGCGGTTTCTCTCCGCGCCGCGGGGTAGGGACGAACAGGAACGTGTTGTGAACCGAGTGGCATCTGCAGATGGGTTTTGTGCAGCCCTGGATTGTTTTTCTCAGATGCACAAGGGTGTTAAGGTAGCCAAGCTCTAAGTCTGTAAAATTGCCACTGAAGGTGACCTTCATTTGACATTTTGCTAGTCACAGAGTATGTTCGACTTGCGTTGAAGACAACTGTAAGTGTATGATTCATTAATATGTGATTATTTGCGCTCTGATTATTTTTGTAATTCCACTAAATAACAGAAATTACTATCTTCAAGCCCTTAAGGTATACTTGGTGCTTGCTTTCTGGGCTAGAACTCTTGAGGCATGCCTGATTTGGGTGATTATCACTGGTGGGAGAGGTTTTTGCAGGGAATTGCAGGGATTGGCTTGCATTACAGTGGGGAGGAGGTTTCACTGAACAATGTAATACCTAGTTTTTCCTACAGATTCACAGACACTCAGACATGCACGGGCTGGAGACTTTTTCCTGGAGAGGAAGAAGCCAAGCTACTAATGCAACTTAGCTCCCTTGGAAGTTAGGGGGGGGGATGGAGAAATCCAAAACGGGGTTTCTCGATTAAAGAAAAACAGAAACTCCAAACAAGCCAAAAACCAGACATGGCAGGGGCTAGTGAGACAGGCTGGAGCTGCAGAGAAAACTGATTTGGCATCCTGTGTGTCGGATGCTGCTGCTGCGGCTGAACACCAGCACGGCTGGGCTGTGCTGCTGAGTCCAGGTGACACCCAGTGAGCAGGGTACGGGACACCCGGTCATCGGGTACAGCCGGTGTGGTGCCGCTGCTGGGGTTGGTTAGTCTCGGGATTCAGCTTTTCCTGCCACGGAGCGCTGCCGGTGAGACACGCACAGGGGAGCATCTGGCAAATTAAAGAGTTTTCCTGGATCTTTATTTTCATGCACCAAAGGGTCGGCCCGGCTGCTCCCCGCTCTGTGGCACCCACGGCCGCGGCACCCCGGTGTTTAAGGCCGTGATGCGCCGCCCCTCCGCCTGTGCCTTGTCCTCGGGTGACGCGACGGCTGCTCAATAAAGACTATACAGTAAAACTGCTCAGTCTCTGGCTTCTAAAGGCGCCGGGGAACTCGCGCTCCCTTTCCCTGCAGCACGTCACCGCTGACGCAGCACCCACCGCGCGCCCTTTTCCGAGACACCCCTTTCCCCCGGGCCGCCGGAGGACGCGGACCGTGTCGGCGGGGACACGGCGGCCGGGGGGGGACACCGGCGGACGGACGGACGGACGCACACG